GACCTCACATATACACGCCCGGACGTACGAAAACACACGCGCGCGCGCGTTCAATGGACCTCGAGTGTTCCTAATCGTCTGCAATATCTATATTGACTATGAACAGCAACGTGCTTTTATTAAATGGCAAAATATATCTTACGCGTTTCGTTGAATTTGTTGAATGAGAATTTGTTGAATGAGAATTTGTTGTATGAGAAACATCACATTGTGTTAATAGTAATGCTAGCAATAACGTATAATTGTTATGAAGTGGTTCATCGCATCTTATCCATAACTGTTGCACAATTAAACCATACACAGTCCAAACTATCTGCTTATTGCCTATATAAATATATAAAGATATATATATATAATTATATATATATAATCAAGAACTAATAATACCTATTATTAGAGGCATTATTAGCTCTTGATATAATATATATATATATATATAATATATATTTATTTATTTATTTATATATGGGGCGAGAGAGAGAGAAGAAGGAGAGAAAGACAGATAATGAGAGAGAAAGAGAGAGAGACAGAAAGAAAGAGAGAGAGAGAGAGAGAGAGAGAGAGAGAGAGAGAGAGAGAGAGAGAGAGAGAGAGAGAGAGAGAGAGAGAGAGAGAGAGAGAGAGAGCGATATAGATAGATAGATAGATAGATTAGATAGATAGATAGCATAGAATAGATAGATAAATAGATAGATAGATGCTAGATCGATAGAATAGATAGATAGATAGATAGATAGATAACGATTTAGATTAGATAGACAATAGATAGATAGACAGATAGATACGATAGATAAGATAGATAGATAGAACGATAGATAGATAGACTAGATAGAATAGATAGGATAGATACGATAGATAGATAGATAATAGATAGATAGATAGATAGTAGATACGATAGATAGATAGATAGATAGATAAGACACGACAGACAGACAGAGCAGACGCCAGATAGACCCATAATAGGATAGACTAGAATAAGATATGATAGATAGATAGATAAATAGATAGATAGCTAGATAGATAGATAGATAGATAGGCTAGAATAGATAGATATGATAGATAGATTCGATAGATAAGATAGATAGATAGATAGATAGATAGATAGATAGATAGATCACGATAGACTAGATAGATAAATAGACTAGATGATAGATAGATAGATAGATAGATAGATAGATAGATAGATAGATAGATAGATAGATAGATAGATAGATAGATAGATAGATAGATATATAGATAGATAGACATAAACTACCATTTGGCAAACTTACATATCTTGCCGCAGCTCCAAGCTTGCTAAAAATCAGTGATAATAACTCCATAATTACTATATAGTTTAAGATCTCATATTTGTCAAAAATGATTACTAGTTAACAGTAACTGCATCAAAAATCACCAATTACAAATACCTATGCCGCCATTTCATGTTGCAGAGTACCAATGCTTGCAGTATTCACGTAAGATGCCCTTAAAATGTCAAGCAATATGAGCCGTTTAGGCGAACCTCAACTAAGTGTAGAATCATGTATTTAACCGGTTCGTTGGGTCTTTGTGTGCGAATAATTGGTATAAACCATTACGGAGAACATAGATGTCCGCCCACTCGCATTGCAGAATGAATGTTTTTAAGCATGTATTACCAAATACAGAGGCAGGTCGGCGGGGAGGTGTGGGGGTGCTGGCAGTTCGTGTAGGTGTAGAGATTGTAGTCTTTCAGAGCCTCTGTATGTACGATGTTTAATTGACACCGTTCCGAGTATTTGTGAGAATATCTAAGTTTTGTTGGCTGCTGAGTCGAGAGCACTCACCTTCAAATTGCCTTGTGCAAAGCAGGGTGTATTCAAATCTACGCCTACGAGTTTATTGTATGGTCCTGAGTTTTATTGATTGACATAGCAAAGTTTATGCTGACTGGAAGGCTGAAGCCTCTTGAACTGGAAAGGAATTAAGGCAGGAAGAATTTAGTGTAATTTCGGGTATATAAGCGCATGTTCTGCACCCACGCAACCACGCACATTTACTAGATACCAGATACTATACTTACTCACCGCGCAGTACCAGAGCTGTCTGTGTGATAAGTTGCAGGGGCGTAGCCAGGAGCGCCCCTCCCCCAGCGGGATCGGGAGTTCCGCTCAAATGCATACAATTTTTGGTAACCCTTTTTCGAATTCCAAATATCGGTGGTGGTTAAGACAAATTAACAAAATTAGCAACAATGAAATGTTTCGTCCTCATTATCGATGGCTTCGCAGCATTGTGCAGCACACATTCATTCACAGCACAGTAGCCATATTATTATTTTAGTGGGTTGATACAAGCATTTACGTACACAGGCCCAGTTCTGATGACAAATTCTGCATAATTAAAGCAAATGTCAACAGATCGCAGACAGTAACGAACAAACCACACGAGGCGTGGGTATAGGACACGTTGTCACAATATGTAACAATCAATCCTCGAAATGGTCCGATTAATTAGGAGACTCCGCGCAAACATGAGTGTCAGAAGTGAGAGTTTTCACACTGCCAGTTTTGTACAAAACAAACAAGTCCGGGAACACCCCCAATTATTGTCTACGCTTCTAATCACAATGAAAATTGTTCCCAGAAACTCATTAGGACTCATTAATTATAATTACAGTATAATTATATTCAGTACACGTATATGTATATAATTCACGCAGTATTGTGAGAATAAAGTGAGAAATAATTAAATTAGCATTGCGTAAGGTTTTTATTTATTGCCATAAAATTAATTAACGGCACTATAGCGCTGGCGGGTTTGCCGCAATTTCTTATGTTTCAATAGTATAAAGTTCCATGGCTGTAATGAGATCCCCCCCCCACACACACACACACTTTTTCAGCTGGCCACGCCTCTGAATAACGTCGTCATCGTATCGTATCCGATACCGACTTAACATATTCTAACACATAAAGTTAATCGCTCACGATTATCCCGTTTGTACATATAGCAACACATCATTAGGCAATTACCCTATAGTAAAACAAACCACTCTTACAATATATATTGGCACCTCAAGACTTAGAGTACCGCCAAAACCAATGTAGTCATAGGCAGAAAAAAAACATTAGACTGGTCGCTATAGCCTTCATATTAGGCGTTGCGCAACAGTAGCGTGCGTCCATATAGGAAGCTGACCTGCATAATCATCAAACAGAAATGAAATAAAAAATACTTGGAGAGTTTCGGCGCATACGTGACATGCGCTATATTCATGCTAAATGGTCACAGATTCAAAGTCCAATCTTCACTCGAAACTTTTGCGAGATTGTTTTATAGATTTTTCAGCATGTAGTCGGATCCCGTCTCAAACACAAAAACGGCGAACCGGTTACCATGGTTACACCACTTACCGCAATGACACAATTACACGACAAGACCAATCTCACGTCTATTGCCTTCTAGACATCCGTGAGGTCACTACCATGCGTGCATATTCCAAATTGGTGCACTCTGGCACTGAATTCTACGGCAAAAAAGCACATTCAAAAATGCATTTTCCAGAGACGAAATAGTGCATCGTTGGTGAACAATTGACGGAAGGCTATACCTATACTACTGTTGTGTATGCCCCCTTTATATATTGGTCTCAAATGAAGCCAGTGACAGCTGACGAATGGATTAGAACTCCAAATCTCGGTTCATGAGCTGGTTCTCCGAAGCTCCGACCACCGCCGTAATGTCTATATGCCCCGATTCTTTGACTATACAGTGGGACGGGACCAGAGTGCGTCCTAAAGTCCGTGCTTGCTGGCTACTTCGAAACCATATAGGAATTAAATACGAGTGTCCAGTGCGAGGGTGCGTAACAACAATGAGAAACAACAGCTGTTGGCTCTGAAGAGTGAAGCGCCTGTAAAGCCGCAAAGGTGTATCAAAATTTCTGAATAGCAGTGCACATTATAGTGCACGCTGCTCTAATGCACACTGCTCTAATGCACACTGCTTGCTTCATTGAAAGGATATAATTATTCAATTCTTTGTTCCAAGAGACAGCTAGGTCCTACATATATAGTACCTCTAGACTAGTATGTAAACCAATGAAGTAAATCTGTGTGCGTGCGCGTGTACGTATAGTATGCTTCAACATTTATCAATTCATGTACATTATTAACCCATAGATTTATAAACAGAGGGTAATCTGTGAACGCACGGTTGAGTGTGGAAAAAACGGAGGGTGATCGATTCGCAGTCGTGTGACTGCATGGAGAATGGCGTAATTTGATTCGTAAGCAAATGATGCTTAATCGCTACATCGATTTATTGTAGGCCCCCTACGTATTATACAGATATATATTAAGGGGCAAATTGATGTTGAGGATGAAAACACAAATACACACACGCACGCACACAGGTACGCACGCACGCACGCCCGCGCGTATGCACAGACGTCCTCCCGTATGCACGGACGCCCTGACGTATGCACGCACTCAAGCACACGCAGACATGACGCACGCACGCACGCGCGCGCACACACACGCACACAGTGTAAAGATCATGCGAGCTAGATGATTATCCAAATGATCAAATCTATTATAATAACTCCGAAATTGTTTTGTCAACTTAATCGCCCACCCCTCTTCATATATCCGCTTTCTTCGTGCAAAACAATTTTTCTACAAATTTGTCGTGGTCAGGCGGTGATTGGTATTCGCTCGTGTAGCACTCGATCACACGATCGAGCGTTAAATTATTCCTCTTTCTTTCTTTTTTCTTCTAAATTATTCAACATCTTCGTTTCTGTCATCCATATTGAAATTTGCTTCCTTCTTATTTAAAACAATTAATTACCTTTCTGCACCTCTGAAATATTCCTTTGGACTTTTATGATTAATCACATAGACTAAGTTCAATATCTTGTATACGTGGCTGTATGTCAATCATTATGAGACTATGAGGTTACGTGGAATGACCGAGTATTTTATGATTGGCAACTCCGCATCACGTGACAGATCTGACAGTGGCGCTGAGGCGCTCATGAACAGTAATGGCGGCGGCAGATGTAAATCAGGAAAAGTTTTTGTAGAGTTTCACATACACATTGACACATAGTCGTGTTATTTATCACGATGGTCGACGCAGAGGTCGACGACATATCGTTTCTGAGTGGTAAGATATGTAAATGTACTGAGAAACGCTGCCTCACACCCGCCGAAGTCTTGGCCGCTCGCAGCAGTGCCAGCAGTGCAGTGCCAGTGGCGCTGATGCAGTGATAGTACTAGTAGCTCTAGAACTATAGCCTAGCCCTCCGCTCCGCCGCAGGGCTATAGAACATACTATGGCAATTTCCAGGGAGTAAGCAAAGACAACTTTTTGCGCTTAATAACTTCTTTGGTACGCCAAATAAAGCACATTCTCTGTCGCACAAATGTCTTAAGTTAATAGTATAATACTGCAAACACTAAAATTAAACTGCAAACTAACGGTTAAATGTTGTACTTGCTATATTACTTGTCGACGAAGATTATTTACCAACTTGTCACCGCCATTTTCTGTTGCGCGGCGCTAGCGCGGTTCCGGGGCTAGTGAGCGGGCACAATGTATTTCCAAGTGGAGGTGTGGGCAGGTTGCACGTGGTTGCAAACTGCGCTAGCGCTGCGCAATGAAAAATGGCGGTTTGCAACCGCGTGCAACCTGCCCACCCTTCCACTTGGAAATACATTGTGCCCGCTCACTAGCGTACCCACTCACTAGCGAAAAATGGCGGTTACAAGTTTGTAAACAATCTTCGTCGACGAGTAATAATGCAAGTACAACATTTAAGCGTTAGTTTGCGGTTTAATTTTAGCGTTTATATGGTAACTTAAGACATTTGTGCGACAGAGAACCTGGTCGGTTTAAATCGGAGGGTACCCTGGGCTTGGGTACGGTTCGATATATTGGAAAGTACAGGTACCTTGGGGTACTATACGATATGTCGAGTCCGTGCGATGCAGCGACATCGTATAGTACCCCGAGGTACTTTCCGATATATCAAACCGTACCCAGGGTACTCTCCGATAGTACCCTGGGGGACATAGACCCTATCAGCTGCAGTGGCACTAGTCGGTGGTCCGAGTTTCTTCTGATCAAACGCCCACGCTGACGATTTTTTGGTCGATTTGGTGTGGTTTTTGACACAAACTGAAAAAACCCACACAAAAATTGAAAATCCACCAAAAATCGTCGGTGTGGCCATTGGTCAGAGGAAACTCGGACTACAGTAGGCCTAGAACTAGCAGTCCCAGTATGCTGACTGATGCCTGTGACACAGATTGTGTACATGCGGCTAAACTGTAAACAGAGGAATTGCTACGACATGTGATTGGAAGATAAAAATAGAATTTGTGATGTTTCTCAAGACTGTCAGTATTTTATATTCAAAAGATTACAACATTTACACTCATTATACTAGAGGATTCTCCAAATATTTGCTAATTTTCGCGAAGAGTTTCTTGTTCAAGTAGTGTTCGTGTTGTATTCGGAGCAATTCCTCCATTTACGGTTTAGCCGCTGACTCGCAACATCACTAGAGGAATTGTGTCAACCTCTGATTAGCTCAAAAACATCAGCTGATGTGACGTTTTGACACAAGAAGTTCAGCATATGGGAAGGGGAGGGGAGAAGAGAAAACGAAAAGAGAGGGGGGGGGGGTTGAATATGCAATAGCTACTTCCGTCACTCCCTAGGTTTTGTTAGACAGTTTATTGGTCAAATCATCACCATTATATAGTTGGGTAGACCATAATTTACTCAGAGAAATATGGAAAACCCTAGATGGAAGGTTTTATGCTACTAGCAGTATAAAAGGAAGCAATTGATGTCTAATATCCAAAACTCACTAGGTGCTTCTATTCTGTCGACAGTGAATGTACTCATGTACGTGATATTGTTCTTGCCCAAGTTATCCTGGCATGGCTTATAGGGCTGTAACGATCCACCAAAATCGAATCGGATCGAGATTCTCTTCCCTCGATCCGATCCTCGATGTTTTTCCCCGTATTTTCGATTCCACTTTGAATTTGATACCACTTTTTTCCTCCAATAGATGGCGGCACTACGCTATAAACTGGAGTGTTACCAGAGCATATAAATCACTGATTTATATGCTCTGGCGTTACTCACCAATGTTACTCAGCGACTGTGCAGTGTATATATACTTTCTAGACTCTCTAGTCTATTCACCATTTAGTATTCATTGGCAATTTCTAATAATTTATTATTGCAAAATAATGAAAATTTGAAAAATAACATAACATTTCAATATTTTGGGAATCGAATCGAAGGAATCGAATCGAGAGGCTAATATTGAGAACCGGATCGAATCGAGAGGCTTGTGTATCGTTACAGCCCTAATGGCTTATAGCTGAATGAATGGTGAGGCTCATCTTTGAGCTCTGAAGCAGGGCATAGTTCAACCCAGAATATAGTGTGCTGCCAACACCCATGTCACGTGCTACTCAGCAATTGCATTCATTTACATTGCAAAAGCGAACGAATTATCCATAGGATTTCATGATGTTTCTCTGCATAAATTACGTTATACCCAAATATAACGGCGATAACTAGAACAAGTGAGCATGCACAGACACTATCAGGGCTCGAATTAACCGACGGCACCGACGGAATTGCCGTCGGTGCCCCTATCAATCGCCGTACTGCCCCTGAAAATCCAACCCGACCGACGGCACTGACCTGCCTTGCCCTTTTCTGTAATTGCCGTCGGTGCCTCTGGCTAGACTGGTTCGCGGCCGCACTGTTTGTCGCAGAGCATGTACATTGTCTAGCAGAGCGTGAGGCCGGATACCAGTCTACCTTTCGGCAAAAACAATAATATATAACGTGGCTCGCTGCCAACCGCTGCCAGTAGACGATCGATAAATCGTGCACCTGTGTATGCCCGTGGTAAAACACGAATATTTAAATGCTGCACGTGGACTCGGCCCGCGCGCGATTTAAAGCGCGGGAAACAACGCTCACGCAAGAATGGCCAGCTGTGATCTGTACGGTGTGTAGCTTGTGTAGAATTCATACGATGACAGAAAGTTTTTCATAACAATGGTCTGGGAAAGAAAATGGTGACGTAAGTATAACTGCTCGGAAACTAACTTTGTCTCTGAACGAAACAAATACGTTGCAGGTTTCTTCCCCAGGAACTTCAGTAGACAGGTCGAACAATCACGCAATTCATCTCCCGTTTGCTAATTGGGAGTTAATTGCGCGTGTTGTAAGCCAGGGCTCGAATTAACCGACGGCACAGACGGCAATTGCCGTCGGTGGCCCTATCAATCGCCGTACTGCCCCTGAAAATCCAACCCGACCGACGGCAGTGACCTGCCTTGCCTTTTTCTGTAATTGCCGTCGGTGCCTTTGGCTAGACTAGTTCGCGGCCGCACTGTTTGTCGCAGAGCGTGTAGAACCGCTGCCAGCAGACGATCGATAAATCGTGCGCCACTGTGCCTGTGTATGCCCGTGGTAGAACACGAATATTTAAATGCTGCACATCGACTCGGCCCGCGCGCGATTTAAAGCGCGGCAAACGACGTTCGCGCAAGAATGGCCAGCTGTGATCTGTACGGTGTGTAGCTTGATGTATTAATTTGTTATGAGTTTTCCTTTATTTTACAAAAGTGCCTTGGTGCCCTTCTCAAATTGTGAGAGTTGCCTTGATGTCTTTTAAAATTGCCTCGGTGCCCATCCATTTTAGAGAAAATTCAAGGCAATTTCTCACATGCCCCCAAAAAATTGCCTTGCCCCTCTTGTCGCTTAATTCGAGGCCTGCACTATGGTGAAGGTAAATGATCATGTCTGTGTGATGTACTTATATGAAACGAAGTGAGCAGTGTGAAAGTTTAGTGCTAGTGCTGTTCCCCATTTTTATGGAGTTTGCACAGTGGCATGCATGCAGTAAGATCGTGTTGTAAATGAGTATTTGAATGGGAGTTACATGGCATTATTAATATTCTAAAGGAGGTAAATAGGGAGTACCTAAACATCAATACGTGAGTAGTAAATACTGTTCTGATTAGGCCGACCAAGAAATTACCTTTGGTTCGGGTCACCCGCCCCACTTCACATTTCCGAGTTAAAAATGTGCAACAGCGGTCACTTTTAGAGGGTTTCAAGAAAAAATATAATTCAAAGATACCGCCTGCCGATCATACGGCCTGGGCCGGCTACTTCATAAACAGAGCCTGAAGGTCGTATGGCGCGGCGGCCGGCTTTGATGTACGCGATCGATCGCGTACTATATAGTATACGTATGCTATCGTGTTATACGCGGCCGCAGAGCCGTTTACACTTCGGTTACTCGCTCGTTCAAAGGGACGATTTATCGAGCTTCGTTTTTGGGAGCGATTCCTAACACTACTATCCAGGTGTTCACATTGATTTTGCAACAATCGAAATATGCATTTCAAGCTGTATAGTACACGGTACCCTATATTTAACTTGTGAAAAAAAAATTATATTCCTGCCTACCCATGTTTTTGCAGGAAAAAAATAAAAAAAAGCAATTGCTGGCTAGCACTTTGGTAAATAGGAAAAAGGTGGGATTTGTGATCAAATTGGAAAAGTGAAAACATAAGTGGCTGTTTCCAGAGCTTAAGAGTGAGACTCAATTTAGTTGTATTTCTCAATTACCCCAAAAAAGATTGTCACAGCTGCTGACACAACCTGTGAATGGAGGGAGTCGTACTTACGAACAGGCCCTTGTCGAAAATCAAGTGGGTGGTGCTAGGATTTTATTGTGGAAAATGTTTGGAAGCTGACTCGTGATGCCTTTGTTGCAATTTACTACGTCATGTAGTGCAGAATAAATAGGTGATCATGCCATTTTTTCATCAATTGTTATTTGCACGTGATTAATTGTAATAATCTGCATGTCTTGCAATTATGCACAGTAAATGTGTTTGAATATGAAGTTGCGATTGATTTTCCTCCAATCAGCAGCATTGTGACATAAAATGATAAAGTTACTGTTATCGTAAGTTAGCTGTCAGCTACGTTGTGCATACATGTGTCAACGTTCTTCTCGATCACATTGGTCCTAAATATTATCATAGTACTAATTATTGTGGTGACTTTAAATAGTGTTTATGGCAGTAGGCCCTAGGAGTGTTGAACTAGGGCAGGTGAGAACCCAAACTACGTGAATTACCGAGGGAGGAAACTCTTATCACCGAATTCATTATTGTGTGCATTTTCATGTAGCGAGTGGAGAGTCTATGAAGCATGGAGGCAACTATGAGCAGATGGGCATCAGTCACACACGCCAGTTAGTATGCAGCCAGAGGAAGGCGACGTGCGTAGCGCTTGCTGCAGCTGCTGTGATCCTCGGTAAGGACATCTGATTTCTGCGTAATTTTTGTTTGTGATTGCTGTTCTTTGAGCTGGATGTTGAACATGTCATAATTAATGCAATCTTTATGTTATAACAACATTAGTAAGAGCTAATAATAAATAGTGTATAATGGAAATATGGGATTTTAAATACGAAAACAAGTCAAACACAAGGATTGCATACACAGACAGTTTAACACGGGCTAACTTAGTACGGGCTAACTTAGCACGTTTCGGAGCTGGCCTGGCCCACCTCCATTCGCGGGGCTAACTTAGTCCGGACTAGCGCATATTTGGCCCTGGATAGCGCCTGGCTAGCAAATCTGTAAAACAGGTCTTCATACGTTTTTCAGCGGTGGCTATGATATCAGCATTTTCTCGTCCTACAATTGAGCACTGCCACATTGGCAACAACTCCCTACATGATGCCACCCAGGCAAAGCCAATCGTTGGTCTTGCCGACGGCACGAGTGAGCCGTTCCCGTGGCGCAGCACGAGGCTGCCACGCACGATCAGACCAAGCCAGTACGACATACATCTTCAAATCAACCTCACCGAGTTCCACGTTAATGCATCTGTAAGCATCGTGATGCAAGTGAGCGAGCCGACAGAGTACATCATCTTGCACTCGAACAATCTCACGATCACCAGCTACTACTTAAAGTCGCACAAGACCCTACGAAAGATTGCTATCACGAAATTGCTCTTCTATAAGCGATGGAATTTGGTTGCCTTTCGCCTCCAGAGGGCACTGTATGCCAATGAGGAACTCGATCTAACGATCGAATACAATATGCCTCTCCGAGATAAACTCACTGGGCTGTACAGAAGTTCTTATGTTGACGACGATGGGAAGAAAAGGTTAGTACGTGTGTGTGGTGTGTTTGCCTGCGGCGTCGCTTAGATGGGTGTGTACCTCCATTTATGTGTGTGATGATTTTGTAGTAACATTGTCTAGGGATAATATGAAAGTTCAACTCTTATTCCAGCATAGTTAGTCGAATAATTGGTCTGTTCCTAATACTCGGCAATTGTACTTGTAACTCTAATGCTGCTCATCTTCGCATAAAGGTACATCGCTACGACACAGTTTGAGCCCAACTCGGCACGAGAAGCATTTCCATGTTTTGATGAGCCAGCCTTTAAAGCAGTCTTTGCCATTCAAATAATCCGTGACAAGGGCCTGGTGTCATTATCAAATAAGCCAGCTGAGCCCCCACATCAGTTCCTGAAGGGTAAGCATTTGATTGTATATATGCCAATAGTGGAGACATTATTTGCAGTAGGTGTGTTAGATTACTACTAGATACTACTAGATTAGTAGAATGTATCCGTTACGTAATCATTTATTGTGGTGGTCGGGTAAGCTGCATACCTATCTGCCTATAGTGAAAGAAATTAAAACCGGACACAGGAAATTAATTAAAAACAGATTATAGTATTTATACTTACACTGATTATGTAGAAGTTAAATGTCACACAAATAGGAAACATAGGGATAGAAGTATGTATATAACCTCCTATCTCACAAGTAAATTAATGTATCTTCGTTCTAGAGTACAACAAGAAATGGTAACAAATATTTTTCTTACATATTTATACATACATGTCCTGCACATGTTTGATGTGTAATGATAACTTTAGATGAGGGCTTTGACTGGGAGGTTGATGTGTTCAGACAAACACCCAAAATGAGCACGTACCTGGTTGCAATCATCGTCTGTGACTTCAAGTCTAAGTCCGACATCACCGGAAACAATGTGCAGGTATAATTGCTGATGGTACTTTATCTGGTGTACCAATGAATTAAATAAATACTAACTCTGTGTTGTCCTAGTGGTTCTGCAAGCTGCCTTAGAGACCAAAGCTGTGATTACAGTTAAATACTTTTATTGCCATGTAGTCTTTTACCATTTGTGTGCATTTTTTAAGGCCAGTATTGGTTTGAATCTGTAGGTGGCTGTGTACGCACCAAAAGCAAAGATAGACCAGGTAGACTTTGCCCTCAATATTACGATTAAAATTTTGGACTTCTATGAAGATTTCTTCCAGATAAGATACCAACTGCAGAAACTGGGTATGTAACATCGTGTTTTTAATTCCTGTAGCATACTGCAATATAAAGAGTAGCATACCGTGTAATTTCACCAGCGTCAGCATTCTGGTAATTGACCTGTATGTTAATTATCAGTCTTAAATACCAGTGCTTAAATATCTTAATAAACTAAGGTAAATCGAAAATCACATTGTAGTTGGCTGAAACAATATAAATATTGATTTGAAAAAATATTGTAATGATTTTAAAATTGTAATATGATCACAATGTCAATTGTAGAATTGGATTGTCTGAAATTAAAAATCTTTTCTATAGTATTAGGAATAGTATGTATGTGTATTTTATGAGTAAAATTGCAGGGAAACTTTGTGGCACTTGTTTGCTATTTTTATTCTTTAATACCTAAATTCTAAAAAAATTCTAAACGAGACGTTCTCTACAGATTTGATAGCCATCCCGGACTTCAAGGCTGGAGCTATGGAAAATTGGGGGATGGTGACCTATCGGGAAACAGCCATTCTGTACAATGAGAACGAATCATCGTCTGCTGCCCAGGAGAGGGTTGCTATTGTTGTAGCACACGAACTGGCACACCAAGTATGCACATTTGCTCTTTCATGTGTCTTTTTTTCTGAGTTGCACGTGCCAGTACGTGAAGGTGCTGGTGACAGCTAGTTTCTAGCCTGCATGGGTAGAGTGTTCAGTGCTACCCATCCTCCCTCCAGATGTTGAATTTGGCAGTCCTCTGCAAGGTTGTCTGTGTTCTGGGGCTGTCATACTTAGTAGCATACTTACATACAATTGTGGGAATCAACAATCACCTAGGAGAGCGGAGAACCTTCTGATGCCAGTGCTTTCTCTGTTGAGCTGGCATCTTTCCTTCCTGGGAAGGTTACCTTCATTGGTTGAGCATGGGATACTTTGTAAGGGGCCACCTGGTGGGGTAAGGCGTCGCTTGTCCTCTTTGTGATGGTGTCGTCTGCTTGAATATAGGACTGGCCGACTTTTATGAAAGGGCTCGTGCTCTGCGGCATCATTGTGAGCAGATCTGCATTGATTTTGCTCTACAGCAGGTAGCACGTGGTGCCTTTAGAGCAGTCGGTCTGGATATGCCTTCTTTTCTGATGTGATGAGTAAGAATATCAGTGAGGATAGGAAGTTAGTGGATTGGCGTGGGTTAAAGGCAGCTACTTGTGCTCATAGGGTCTCAGTCCCCCAGGGTAGTGTCGGAACGTACCCTGGGTACGGTCTGGTATACCGGAACGTACCCTGGTAACTATCTGATATGGTTAGGGTTAGGGAGTAGGCGTAGGCGACTCCCTAGACTCGTTAGTGGAGTAGGCGAGGTACGGTCCGGCATATTAGATAGTACCAGGGTACGTTCCGGCAGTATCCTGAGGGACATAGACCCTCTCAGCGCTACTTATGGGTCTGAGAGCAGAGTTGATGCAAACAGTGACTCAGTTGGTGTGGTGGCTTCTCACTCAGACAGTATTCTCACAGTATTCAGCTGGGGCATGCACCAGAGCAAGAGTTGAAAAAAACATTAGTTCTGTTACGTATTGATGGTTAGATTAGTGATTATGATAACTGTTTTATTTCAATGAAAACTTTCGTTGTTTTTTTGTTCTATATATATGACAACTCTGTCTAACAAAAACGGAAATAGCTTTTTAATTGCATCCTAAACCATAAGACGTCACTATAACTTTGTCACTAACATTATCGTAAACCTTACAATTATACTCATCTCTATAACCTTGTGCTAGCCGATTTTGTGTCAATACAGTCGTCCTTGCTTTATCGGGCCTCTAATAAACAGGTGCATCACATAAACAGCATATCTTGAAAAATAGTGCTTGTGGACATGATTTTGATAGGATAAAGGAGGTCAGAGCATCGGGTATATGGGATATTTTCTGCAGAATAAACTTCCTTCTTTCTAAAGTGAATGATGTAAAACGTTTCTACACTTAAAGGGATCGTTTACTCTAGGTTCAAGGGTTATTTTCAGTTAATTTAGGTTAAAATTATGCTACATAAAAAGTTTCATGGTTCAATCACCATTAGAAATGTTATTAAAAAATGTTTTAAAACTAGCGACTACAGTTTGATTACAACGACGGTGGTGCCACTCAAAGTGCACGATCTGATAAGTTGCGCAAAACCACTTCAGCCAAGGGCTACTGACCAAGGGTGTTTCTTATTTATTAATTTAAAAGCAAAAGGATTGTAATATCTTATAGACGACATAATATAAACATAAATAAATTGTCAAATACGCAACGTCTTTTTTTATGTAGCAAGCCCAGCAGCTACTATTTCTTCTAGTAGGACGTTCTTTTTAATGGCAATTGGTGATAATTAGACACAGAATATCTATTACACGTTAGATAAGTCATGGGTCACACGAAATCGGTATGTGTGTTAAAACGAGTATTATTTAAATAAATGTACACTGTGTTCTTGTTATTTTTGAAGTAGAATTTGTGCTAATAAGTTTTCATGTGTGATACTTTATACAATGCCTATAAAAAGACGTGTGCGGGTCTGTATGTGTGTTACAGTGGTTTGGGAATCTGGTCACCATGGACTGGTGGTCGGACCTGTGGTTAAATGAAGGCTTTGCATCTTTCGTTGAGTTTCTCGGAACTGACCACGTGAAACCCGAATGGAACATGGTATGCACGGCCCTATGGGTTTAGGATTATAATGTAACTGACCAGTGTACTATTATGTGTGACTTTTTAAGAGCAATTTCAGTAGTCACTTACAATAAGTACATGGGTGTACTGGAAATATATTAATAAGCTTTTTTTTCTGTAAATTTGTAATCTATAAAACGTGTTGAATGCAAAGTTTTACTGAACTACTTGTCACCATAAAATATCAATAGGAACCTTGGGTCTCTCTGACACCTCAATGCTGTAAACTCATATAAGAAGTATGTACAGTAGAATATATTCCAGAATGTACTCTCCGACAAATATTTTTTGCAGATGGATCAGTTCGTTTTGACGGAAACACAGGTTGCCATGGTAACTGATGCATTAGCAAGTTCCCGGCCACTGACTGTTGAAGTGAATGATGCTGATGAAATAGATCTGCTGTTCGACAGTATTTCCTATCAAAAGGTGCCTTTTGCATTTATTAGCGTGTCTTCCCAGTTGTTTTTTAATCTTTAATGTTTTTCCTTTTCTCATGGATTCAAGCATGCTAAATGTTTTATGCAATGGCTAGGTTTTACACTAACCCTGTCACGAATCTTGACTGGTATACTTTTGTGTAAATTTAGTTTTACATTTTTTTTATATAAAAATTAATCTTTAATTGTTAAGATCGGTTTTAAACTATTTAGCATATGGGCTATTTAGTTCTTAAATGTTCCTATTGTGGAAATTAGAATGAATTAAACTAACTATATTTTTTATATTATAATAAAGAGCTTTTTCTTGTACTGTAGTAAGTGATAATGGTCATATTATACGCACCATAACCTCATACTCATAGTATTTAATAGTTATGTGTGAGCCATATAAATTTCATCATTCACTACTAGTCTTAGTAGTGTCATATTCTCTATTGGATCTGTGTGTAAATGATTTCTGTTTATAGGGAGCTGCCATTCTTAACATGCTACAAGGTTTTCTGACTCTCCCCATCTTAAAGAAGGGTCTCACACGATATCTGACTCTGCACGAATTTGGAAATGCAAAGACGTCAGACCTGTGGGATGCCTTAACGCAAGTATGGCATGCTTTTATTATTGTTATTAATATTATTATTATTATTATTATTATTAGTCCATTTTTAGCTTACCTTGACATCGTGAAGATGAACTATTGCCATGGGTCGTCGTACGTCCGTCCGTCCGTCCGTCCGTCCTTCCGTCAATATTTGGCTACGGTCAACGATAACTCAGGAACCGTTTCACCCACATGTTTGAAATTGGGTATAGTGGTTACTGCTATGGCAGAGGTTTACGTCCTATTTTGGAGCACGCCAGTCGACGTACTTTCGAGCCACGGCAATTGTTTGGCAACAATGGGAATTGCCATTAGTCAGTTCAGGTTCAACGGATTTTGCTCATTTTTGGTATGTGAATGAATAAAGGCCAGGGGTTTCGATATTTAAAAAAAAAATTATGCAAATTAGGTAGGTTTTGTATAGACACGCAGATAACAGTCTGTGGTGTCACACTCGTCTGGTTCGTTTTACAAGATTTCATTAACAATATCTTTAATTCAAAATTGGTATTTCCTCACCACCCAGCCGATAAAACGTCTATATTAGAGTAAAGTTTTACAAAACATGTCGGAACGCAGCATAACCTATTTATTTCGAACGCCATCGCTAAGAAACATCAAAGTGCGTATAGTGCCATCTACCGTCACAAATTGTGATTCATTTTGGTTTATAAATTATTGCGATATACAGATGGCAACCGTGTGCTACCGCCTAGAAAAACTCATACGAAGTAAACACTTCCATGCAACCAATTAACCTTTGACAAAAGTTGTGTTATGGGCAGGGAAACACCATTGTCACGTGGTATATAGCAGCTACGTGGAATAAGCGTATCTTCTCAATCTTACGCGTTACACATCGGGATCTCCGCTTTTAGGCAGTGCCTAAATCTGAATATTATAAAAAAGTTAAATGGCGATCATTTAGGTGTAACGCCATCACTCGCCCACATCTCAGACTTTCACATCTCAAACATTTATTTTCACATAAAAAATTACACATATAATTATCAAGAGTATATAATGGGAGTTCTCCCATATGTACTCTTCGTTTCTGTAATGTACGTCGATGGTTGCTCAATTAAAACTGACTTCTTCTCACTCACTCACTCATTTGTGTCCTTTTTTGTGGTGAGCTACAGTGTCATTGACACTTTCATTTATTTGCATCCTCCTCCCCATTAGTAATAAATGTTGTTATTGTTGGGGGGAAATGATGGTTTAGGAGCAGGAACTACTGGACGTATTTGTTCAAGACTGGTATGGAGGGAAAAATACCAAACAGATATACGTTTGTATGATTTAAAGCAAGGTACATAATAACCACAGAAGAGAATCACTGTACTGAATGAGAATCAGAGTGGCCATTATATACAGTCAACTCTCAAAACTTTGAATGCCCCTCAGGTTCCAACATTTTACCTCATTTTTGCTTTTCTCAACTACCTTCTGAAAACCAAATCTCCCCAAAACGAATTCCGAACATTTTCAGTGCTCGGGGCCATTATTTCTACATCCAAAAAACCGAACTGACAGTGATCAAATCCCTCAAATCTCGGAAGAATTCCAGCATGAAATTTTGAGATCAATTGCAAATTGTACATCAGAGCAGGAAGTGATTTAGCAACCTCTGCAAATATGAGTAAGCTCTTAAGTAAATCTTTCAATAAAGTTACAATTACAAATATTGTTTAATTGTCAAGTTATTAAATCGAACTTAAATCAAAATCATTTTAATTCTGGTTATTAACTGTGCTTGTTTGCGTCTCTTAACGGTAATAACTTTGTGAATGATTGAAGCCGATGTCATCAATGAAGTACGGGTTTTGCACACACGCTCACGAGGTTTCCGGTTTGTACATCCCATTGCTTCATTTATTTTGGCATTTTTAACTAGGGACACCCTGTCAGTGCACAGCACTGTTCTCTTCAGGGACCTGGGCTAAGTATTCTGGCCTTGCCCCTATTTACTATCTGAGAGCCTACAGCTGAGCAGGACGTAGCAATGTTGCATCACCGGCATCTTCCTCGTCTGCTGCTACAGGTGAGTCGCGAGCAGCAACAGAATCTCGACGTGGTCACGATTATGAACTCATGGACGCAGCAGATGGGCTACCCCGTCGTCACGATCTCACGACAGGGCAACGTGCTGAAGGCACGCCAGCAGCGCTTCCTGCTCAACCAGGACACAGTCACCAACTTCACCAGACCGCAAGATGAGTCTAGCTACGGGTTTGTACACATTTTACCAGCTCATTTCACATTTCGAAAAGCGTGATGCATTGTCGGGCGTTTGTGGTTCGAGGTACAAGTGTAGATGTGTGGTAGTAATTATTATTTACACTTGCTTTATTTCAGTTTTGCTTTATGTAACCATTAACACACTGTTGCATAGCTAACAATAACACAGTGTCCAGCTGGAGTTAAAATTTCGAGGCAACGTCAAAGATTTGGCCAGGTCAAAAAGTAATGTAAACTGCTGGTTGCCTATGCTATTATTACAGTGTGGGTGCCATGCATTCAGTAGTCAAAATCTGTGACCTGGCTATGAGGTGGAGATCAAAGTGTGCTGTCAAAATGCAAAATTGGCTTTGTTTATTTCATGTGAAATATTCAGAATTGTTTGCACTGTGTACCTGTGCAATGCCATGTTCTGTTACATTATTCAACTGGTGCGGGCGATTGCAGCAATATCTGATAATTTAGTTTGCGAGTATCCATTCCAAATTTAGCCAGTGTACACTTCATGAACGAAAATCCGCTATAGACCAGATGTTGGTTGAAAAAGCCGATGCATCTTTCTTGCTCTTCTAGATTATTGTTAAAAATTATGAGAATGAACTGTATGCTGAATCATAACCCCCACCTGTTTTGGCTTCACCAGATGTTGTGGAACTAATAGTGATTTGTGTGTTAGGTATGTGTGGAATATTCCAATTACCTACTACACTGAGTCCCATCCAAGTGATGTTCAGCTGATATGGATGAACAGGAACACTGGTAACTATTTGTTACTGGTCATCTTAACCCTAAATCCGAAAAGAACTGCTGTCTTAATAGTCTACTAATTTGTATTAATTAAAGCTAATGTATATAATGTAAATAAATAAAATAGAATGACTGACTAACTAACTTACAAACTTACAATCTAACTAATTAACTAACTAACTAACTAACTAATAACTAGCTAACTATCTAACATAGTAGATGTCACATAGCAACACTGAAATAGTAACTAACTACTTAATTCCATTGGTTATCGTCATGTTACACTTGCCTCCTATAATCATATAACTAACCATTCCCCGTCCCTAGTCCTTGTCCAGCAATAAAGAGTACATACTAACATTACTTACTCTACAATGACCGTGAGTCAGAATTAAACTTCGCAGACAACTTCAACCTCGATGGCAATCCTGAGTGGATCAAGGCTAACGTCAACCAGACTGGGTTCTACCGAGTTAAGTATGATCAGAAGAACTGGGATGCCTTGATCAGGCTCTTAAAGAGCAATCATCATGTGAGTACTTGTGCACAGTTGGCAATCGTAAAGTTTTGGTTGCCCACTTTTGGCCGAGCTTGTTCAGCCCATGCGAGATGTAGGTAACATGTAAGCGTGGCTACATATTAGTACAATCAGATCTCATATAACGATGGTGATTAATTCCATAAAAGCCATTGTCATACAATATCATAATTAAAAGTATAGGAGTTGCTAGGTAAAAGCTTAATTTGTTCAAAGGCGATCGAAACAACGGTGACTTGTGTAAATATATGTTTTCTGCTGTGGCCTGCATAATGTCTCTGCTTAAACCAAGCAGCCCAAACTACATACAAAGATTAAAAAAGAGAAATAGAGCTGGATATATGCCTTCTCTAGTAACATGTCTTCTATACAGTATGGCTCGGTTTGCGGGTTAGGAAAATCTGCACACAAATCTTAGCAGGGACAAAAGATCTGACGAGATGCTGGAGACGGAGAAAAAAAAACACCACAATCTCAATTGTCACAATTGTAATACAAAATATTGCACTATTATTTGAAAACAAGATGGCGGGTATATATGGCTGTCATGATACAAATACCTCATTGTACAAGGTCCGACTGAACTGCGGGTATGTGCTAAAGCTTTGTTTGACATACTGCCTCGTCCTTCATGCCCTAACAGGTTCTCTCGCCGGCGGATCGCTCAGGTCTACTTGACGATGCCTTCTCCCTGTCGTTTGGTTTCTATGTTGCGCCAAAGGTGGCACTAGACATGTCAGAATATCTGTCAGAGGAGCGTGACTATGTACCTTGGCAGACAGCACTGCAGCACTACTACAAACTGCTTGTATTGTGTGAGGAGAAGCCTATATACCGACCTCTGAAGGTGACCATGAAACCATTCTCAATTTGTGAATTGCAGTTTATGCCTGGAAAGCGAGAAAACCATGCTCACTTGAACACTGACTGCTGTTATGTCATCAAATTAACCCAGTTTGTGTGTGGTACACACGAAAAGACCAAACTAGTGACTCGTTACCAAGTACTTTTTTCACAATATCGTATTGCAATGCTCATTTGCTGGAACTGTCCTAGTCATGCCAAGCAGATAGGTCAGTTGAACATTGTTTATCTTAAAGAGAGATTCCCTCGTTCAAGTTCAAAAGTTTCAAGTGGCAAACATAAAATCAGGCAAAAATGAATTATTTTAACATTGCACGCTTGTACTTGCCTATAATTATATGTGTGATAGGTGAAAAAAAATTGCTCAGGAATACGTTCATTCAAATCTTTTAGACTACAAAGTGAAACGTTCGAGTCGAATGTTTCAAACGCGTTTACCGTTGCCGCTATGCGGCGATTGTTCCGCTCCGCACACTTGCCGTGTTATGTATGTATGAACCATGCTATGTAAAATTATACACTGGCATGTTATGACCCAATGGTTTTTCTGGTCACGTACAGACCTACATGGCTAGCTGATAGGGAAAGGGGAACGTTTTTGTTTCTGGAAGATTATAGTATTCGGAGCGAGCGAGTTAACGAGCGAGTGAGTCGAGAGTCCTGTCAGGTCGCTGTCAGGTTCGGATTACGTTTTGTTGGGTTTTTAGCACGTTCTATCTCGAAAACGGTTGTTCTTCAAATGTAAACAATATGGCGGCTACGGAACCACGGCGAAAATCGTTTTTCGAGTTGTTTCTATAATGAGCAAATATAGGCTTGATACATATTTTTACAGTTTTATTTTCAAAGCTAACGTTCAGTTAAAGTGTGGTGAGTTATTTACTGACGTGTTTACAGTGGTTTGTTACACAAATTTACGTAGAAAGTTGGAGGGAATCTCTCTTTAATCTTGTGTATCTGTATATATTACATCATTTAAACAAATCGTATACAAGTTTTATGCTGGAATTATAAAGCCATATCAAAACAATATTTTAAATTTTCAGAAATATGTCTTGGAGCTACTGAGTCCGGTTGTGACATACATTGGATGGCAAGATACTGGATCTCACTTAGACAAGTAAGGTTTAGGATGCATTTGTTTGGGACGAATCCATCGGATCGCGATCATGTGATCCTGATCCGACCAAACAAACGCAAACTCACTTTCACCGGTTCACGTTTCGCTGTGACCTATCATGGGATGGTTCATAACAAAGAACAAGCTGTGATTGGCTGAGGCGCGAGCCGCCATATTGGATCTCGTTCGTATCCACCTCGCTAGCAGGGTCGGGTTCGGTGGATCGAGATTAAGTGATCCGACCAAACAAACAGTCAGATCAACGAATCCATTGGATCGAGATCCGTGGATCCGACCAAACAAACGCGCCCTTAGACTGTAGGCCGTATGCAATTATCATTGCATCATGTGACTCAAATAAATGAAGTACTACATTTCAATGTGAAACACCATATAAAAATCACACAACACAAATGGACTTTTTTGCACATCAAAAACCCTAACCCTAACCCTATGACATAATAAGAATGATTATTTCAAATAATCATGCTCATTGTTCGGCTACAGAACAGTTACAGAGATCAGTTATGAACCATGAGTCACAAATATCAATATATGCGCTCACATATACTATAAATACATGTTGTCTCGTCACCCTACAGACTCTTTTATGTTCATCTATGTTATGTTGTTGGGCTGGTATGTAACAGTGTCTTCTCTATACTAAACATGCTGTGTATGTAAGGCCATCTTTGTCACAGTTTACACTGCTATCATTTTTTGATAGCTCTTTAGTGTTATATGGAAATTATGTGATATAACACGTGGTACGTTGTCATAGAGACATTGCTAACTAATTATAGGTGACTCACAAGTAGAACATCTCAGACTCAGCATTGCTGTGAAATATATTACTATATGTTATTGTAATGGTCGTATGTTTTGCCAGCCTATATCTTTTTTTCTCCATAAAATTGCAAACGTTTGTGGCAGAAAATATTTTTATCTTGAATATGGTAGATACTTGCGAAGTACTGTAATGAGACATGCGTGTTGGCTGGACCACCCTGACTGCAAGGTCAAGGTTCTCTCTATGTTTAGGGCTTGGATGGTGAATGGAACTAAGTGAGTACATGTGCTTATGAGTTTTGTTAGAACATAGTGGCATATGTATAAGTAAACTAAAGAATGTCTTGTGATAACAATAATGAGTCTACAATTTCACTTAGGACAGGTAGTGCATGAGATGCAACCATTTTCGACGAAGCAAGTGTGATTGTAGTGATTAAGAAAGCTTAGACAGTGAATAGAACCAACTAAATTTACCATGTTTGTAAATACTTGGGTGTCAGCAATAAGATGCAGGGGAGGGAAAATAAGGTTTAGCAAAAAAAGGAAATGCACATTTATAATTTTGTTTCTCGGCAGGTCATCACTTGAATGCTCGTTCACATAGGTGGTGGTGATACAGTGATTGTTCGCGACGTGTAACTCGTAGTTTGTGCGTTTTAGGATTGCTCCGAACCTGCGCTCGGTCGTGTACGGTAATGCGATCAAGTATGGCGGTGATGAGGAATGGGAGTTTGCCTACAAGCAGTATCAGGACACTCGTACACCATCTGAGAAGAAAGAACTGCTGCAAGCACTCACCACCACTACTGACATGTGGCACATTACTCAGTGGGTTGCTGAAGTTTTATTCCCATCTTTTTTTATCTTTAAGTATTCTGCTTGAGTTAATCCTGTATATCGATCCATATTTCTTGGTCAATCATCTGTTGCACAAACTAATCACTGATCCATGGATCATCACTAATTTATGAAGATTAATTGGTGTCTTAAAAAATTGCCGTAAATCCACATTTAACATTAATAATAACAATTTGATATTAGTCTTCAGTGATTCAAACAGTTGGGAATGAAGATTTGAACCAGCAGACAATGATGCTATTCCTTAATACGGATCTGCGTCTGTGTCTTGCAATTCAATTGTATTTTGTGGTGCTATTAGGCATTGCTAGACAAGCGTTACAACTAGAAAAAAAATATTATTAAAACTTTCAACTGGATTAAAACAACTCTGAAGGGTAAACAGATATTGCTCAATGAATTATTATTTAGAACATCACTAGTTACTACACAATAAACTAGATAGATACACCATGGAAGGCTATCTAGCTTTGTGAATAGGCTACGGGAATGGCTGATTTACTCTACTGCCACCATTTTACATGTGAACACGACCCATTCCTCCCACGTACAGCGCATCGAGCATGGAATTTTTTATATATGCACCTTTATTGCGTGTGCACTCGTGATGACAACAGCATGTTCAGAATCCGCTGGTTGGAGCTACGAGTAATGTAGTTCACCTGCTGTGATCCTGCTGACTATCTGCTACTCTTTACTCGTTAGTTTAAGTCTGAGGTGCTACACTTGTAAATCGTCCAAGATGAGATCTGCTAACACCGTAATTTTCATGCCACAGTGTACCAGAAAGAACCCTGATCTATATTAAATACACAGATTGGGTTTTGGTATTACCAGCTATACTTTCACAACCTATAGGTGTTTATCTGTATGCTTGCACTAACTCTATTCAACTAACTAGTTTCATTAGTGTGTGCTGTTAACAGCTATCCGTATCTGTTTATTTGTACAGAATTTTGGACTACAGCTTACAGCCAGAGAAGATCAGAAAACAGGACATGTTTTTTGTTTTGATCGGTGTGGCGAATAACCGGCTGGCACGCTGGCATGTGTGGAGGTTTGTGCAGTCATCGTGGGACACCATCATTGATATGTACGTAGAAACGAGCATCGTGCATGCTGAGGCGTGTTCAACAGAGCGAACGTTCGCAGCGAACACTCACAGCATGAACGCAGCGCCACTTGAACGACACACGAGCGCTCGCTTTATCCAAGATGGCGGCCCCCATGGAGGCTGACTCAGCAGATTTTAATCGCGAGATTTCAATGTCTTCGAACAAGTACTGTTAAACGAATTAGCAGACGAAATTGATACAAATTGAATTTAGAAGTGAATGAATGAATAAAAAATGAAATGAAATCGAAATAGATTGAAATTGAAGTCAGAAATGTTAGATTCGCATTCGCCAGATTGCCTGTCGCCATCTTGAAAACAACTCGTGCGCTGCGCGAACAGTCTCGGGAGCAGGATCGCGCGCTCGCGAGCGCGCGCCTGCGCAGTGTCGTTCAGAAGTGAGCGTTCGCTCTGTTGAACACGCCTCAGGTCACTAATTAGTGAGCAGTGTAAGAAGGAATGTTGTTGAGTTTAAAGTGGGGCGTTTGAATATTTACACACACCGGGCTGGTGTAGTCGCCACAAGATATTTAGTGCACCTTGCAATGTTTCCTACTGCTGTTAGTCGTGCATCGCGTGCATTATTTACACGTGCTGACTGCTATTTTGAGCATTGAATTTATGGCGACAATATAACAGTTTATAATCTGTCATCGATAGGTTTGACAATGTTGGCTGTAATTTATAGCTTCTGTGTTTGTATGTAGACCTCCTTAGATACGTGACAAGCTCTATGTATGTTTACATGACTAGCCTTCATCGGTGTGCACGTACAGGACAAGCCTACAGGCGTACCTATGTGACTACTTCACCTCCCTACAGTCCTGCTTAATTACCGAAATCATCAATGTGTGATATTTGTGGTTTGCTTTTTCAGCTATGGAGCAAGTTCATATAACACCTTGCTGAAGATAACCACACAGCACTTTACAACTGAGTTCGATTATAATGAGGTACATATAAAGTTATCTCGATCTTGATGTTTCGAAATTATTTTCAGTTGTATGACTGGTAATCCTTGTTCATTTTCTTTCTCACCTGCTACTATGACCCTTATCAGCACATGTTAAATAGTGATTTTCAGCTAGTGCGCCCTAATCTTTAAAAACCTATGTTACAACAATTCACTAATTTCTTTGCTTATATTAATTAATATTATATATAACGTGTATAAGGGTAATATATTGGTGAAACAAAGCTATGCTGCTATCTTATATTATCATTAAACACACACACATGCACATGCACACATCTCTCTCTCTCTCTCTCTCTCTCTCTCTCTCTCTCTCTCTCTCTCTCCTCTCTCTCTCTCTCTCTCTCTCTCTCTCTCTCTCTCTCTCTCTCTCTCTCTCTCTCTCTCTCTCTCTCTCTCTCTCTCTCTCTCTCTCTCTCTCTCTCTCTCTCTCTCTCTCTCTCTCTCTCTCTCTCTCTCTCTCTCTCTCTCTCCTTCTCTCTCTCTCTCTCTCTCTCTCTTCCTCTCTCTCTCTCTCTCTCTCTCTCTCTCTCTCTCTCTCTCTCCTCTCTCTCTCTCTCTCTCTCCTCTCTCTCTCTCCCTCTCTCTCTCTCTCTCTCTCCTCTTTCTCTCTTTTCTCTTTCTTTTCTCTCTTCTCTCTCTCTTCTTTGCTCTCTCTATTCGGGACGTCGGCGGTGGGGGTGGGGGGGGGTCGCCGAAAAGGACTCGGCGATGTCGATTGGGGGGGGGGCGTCAAGGGTCAAAGGTCAAGATGTGTCAATGGGGGAATATTTCCCCTTAACTTAAGGTATAGGAGGAATACGGAATTGCGGCACAAATCTCAACGGCTTGACCTCGCCTCTTATATTCGATGTATAGTGTGATGGGCGAGGAAACCTCTACCGCGCTAAATTGGAGGTCACAGGTCAAAGGGCAGTGGGGGAAAGGTCAGATATCAGACATTTTCTGAAGACATGGTCTAACGGACCAAGTGCAAAACCTTTTTGTTTCAGCGCTGACCTACCGTTTTTATCACTTTATTGAAAGGACCATGAAATCTATTTTCTGCTGACATGCGAAGAGTAAGTGTCAGATAACCTTTTGACCCTCAAGAGGAGGGTTAAACATGGATTTGTTGACTGTTAACAAAGGACTGAACTGCTTTTGCTATTAGAGCCTCCACCACATTGAGAGTCCATTACTATTTACGTAACACTAGAAGGCTCAAATCTGCATAAAGCTTTGGTATGTATTACTAAAACCATGCAACAATTTATTTCTGCAGCTGAATCGGTTCCTTATGTCGAGGAATTGCACACTGAGAGCTGCGAGGCAGGCGCTGGAGTTGGTGCGTCACAGTGTGGAGTGGGTCGACAGAAATGAGGAGCTTATCGAAAAATGGCTTCGTGATAAATCGCGCATGTGAGCTGCTGTCCCCATCGGTTCGTGCAGCTGCATGGCTATAAGTAAGGCAACTTTCAATGGTGGGGGTGGTGGCATTCACTTGCTCACCACTTGCTGGCCCTCTTCCAGCCATGATGTGTCAAAATGTTGTGAATCTATTGTGAATAGTGCCATTTTTTTGTGTATTGTCGTGGTCGCGGTGACTATCGTGAGCGTGGTTTCACCCCAAGAAATTGTTGTGACGGAGCATTTCGTCGTGAGTCTGGTCCTTGTTATGTTATATACGCATGCATTCCATGTCTTCTTGCCTGAGCCTTCGTTCTCATCCTGAGATGTGACAATGTTATTTGTAGGCAGTGTGTATTGAAAACGAGGTGCCAGTGTTTGATTGTACATCAACGTTGGAGTTGACGATGGTGTGTTGCTTCTATGAGTACCTTTCACTGTCGTATTCGTATAGTTAGGTAGTCTCTTCATCGGTTTGGCATGCACCAGACGGGGAAGAAGTAGAATGCAACGTGTTGGGTCAACTTTTATATCGCACATTGAAAGCATCTTTTCATGTCAGCGCTTGCGAATACAATTGCGAGGATATGGTTGTGTTGTGCTGAACCGTACTTTCCGTACTGACTCTAGTCACGCTTGTACCAGCTGTTGCGTTAATTTATAGATCATGTATTTTTTTAATCATTTATCTAACCTGTTGCAGTGTGTTGGTAAGGGAGGCATGCAGTATAATTGAATAGGTATGGGCTGTATTGCTTTTAACCAGCTCAGTGTCACGTAGAGAGAGACATGTGTTATATAAATGATCGAGAAACAAGTTTATTGTGCTGTTTATTCATTGAATATGTCAATTGGTTTATTACCACAGCTTATTCAATGCCAGTGTGCGTGTATACGTTATGAGTTGTGATGCTTCTTATACACAAGTTTCCGTGAACATATACTTGGACATGGTCATTTCAGTGATTTTCGAGATTTCAGGCAAGTCGACCTAAAAAGTCACAAGAGGATTTTGGCATGTTCACTTAGTTATTGCGAAACAACTCAACATTAAGCATTAATACATGTTTAAGTTCCAAGGGAAAGGGTCTATACTTCTCAAGCACATATGCTTCGTAAGCACATTAAGCACACATTAGTTATGTGTATAATAAACGAGCATTTGAAAATGTCGTGTTGTCCTGCTTTTATGGCACAAGTAAGTGTACATACACGCATTTACACAGGGATGTTGGTTTGGCATTATTGTCACTTATAAATGTGTATTATTTTTCTAATAATGCTTGCATAGACGCCAAACGGTTACAGTTTTTAATTGGGTGTTGGAATGCTTTCTGTCTGCATACGTGTTGCAGGTAAAGTACTGTGATTATGGTCCGCGTGAGGAACTAATTAATGTTCATAGTATGAGGAGGTATGGCCCTAGTAATATTCTCATTGTTGTTGAGAAGTGCTGCTGAAGTTGTGTACAGGTTACGCCCGGCGCACACGTGAGTAATTTTACTCAAGTAAAATGACGCATGAGTCATTTTACTCACGTGTGCGGCGGATTTTCGTTGAGTAATTTGACGCATGCGTTATTTTACTCACGTGTGCGGCGGATTTTCGTTGAGTAATTTGACGCATGCGTCATTTTACTAAATATCAAACGTGTTTGATAATTTTTGACTCATGCGTCATTTTACTCCATATCAAACGTGTTTGATAAGTTTTGACTCGTGCGTCATTTTACTCAACGTGTGCGCACCTGCTGCTCATTGTGCGCCCAGTATTGACTGCGCACAGTCACGTGATCTGCATTACCACTTAGTTATTCCTTGAGTAATTTTACTCACGTGTGCGGCGAACGCTGAAAATATTACGCGTGAGTATTTTGACTCATTCGTTATTTTACTTGAGTAAAATTACTCACGTGTGCGCCGGGCTTAAATTACGAGTGACATTTGCATTGTGAATGTAGTAACGGACAAAGGGCGTTGAATCTCAGCTTTATTTCCTGATATGTTAACACCACTGGGTCACTAGCAACTTTTGAATCTCATCGAGTTTGCTCATCCAGTTCATATACAGTCAAATGCGCGCGCGCCTCTGTGTGTGCGTGTGCGTGTGTATGTATGTTTTGTGTGTGTGTTGCACGTGCGCGCATATGTTTAACCTATATACCGTACCCATAAGAATACATGTATATAAGATGATGGTTGACCTATATTCCTATTCATTTTAACGAGGATTCATACTTCGAATTAATATTTTTTTGTAACTGTGTATAGTTTTTTACTATACATTGCGTTGACATCATTGAGACATTCAGGTTTCCTGTACAGACTTTACATTCCCAGCCTATAGTATGATCTTCACATGGCAGTTATATAATTTATTAAACTAGGTACATCCATTTACTTGCGTTTTATATACATTATATTCTTTATTGAAATCTCAGAACGGCAGTCTATATACATTTTCCCTCGAGTTATTATATGCAGTATTGACATCTAGATTATTGTATGATGTTTTATTGATATCAGCATTCCATTGGTGTATACGTTGTTCTTTTGTTTCCAAGATCACTTCTTGTACAAGTTTGGGTAGTTTGTTTCGATTTAGCTACCTAATTTATCGTATGAGACAGTAATAACGATTCTAACAATATTCTCGTATTTAACACAATCAAATATAGTAGAACTTATTTATCAGTATGGCGAATACTTTTATTTTGAATCGTGTGTGTATATGTATGTCTCTATGCTTTTTCTGTTGACTGGGTTCTTTCCCAGCTTTGAACCCCGGTAAGACGTCACGTTGGTATAGGCGTAGTGATCGTTACCCTGTTCACACTATACACTTCAATACCGTCTAATCTTAGGAAACCAGTACCTTTTCGCATAATGTATTTTTCTCTTGACTGACAGAATTCGACCAATTATTGCATGAGCTGTAAACGGTCATTGCGTGGATGTGTTATGCATCTAATGAGCGCTTCATGAGCGCATATACCCTGGGCATACTAGTTGTGGATAATTGCTAAAACACGTTCGTAGTTTGGTTACAATTTAATATAATAGTTTTTTCATTACATGCTAATATGACTAAGTCGCTCACAGCGCGTTTCTTAGTCTTGTAAAACGTGGTATGTTTTGCTTCGCATCGCTATAATAACATAGTAACATCATAATATTATGCGTAACGTAACAATGGGTCACATATCACGAGCTATATTTATGCCGTAGCGCATTTCTTCTATAAGCAGACATATACCGATTGCTGAATGATCGAGTCTGCTGTTGTTGTTATGATTCACAGACTTCTTAATAAATGTTGAAAGCGACTGTGTATGTGTATCAACTATGTATGGTCACGTCTATGATATGGTAGCTTAATTTGTCACTACTAATCGACATTTTTCTCTTTTCTTGGTGGTTTCCATGTAGTATGTAAGGCTTGCGGTAATGTCCGCTACTTTCGTGGGCTGGTTTAGTCGTAGTGAGGCTGACGGGCTCTTATACTGATGACCTAGCCGTGTTTTGTGTATGATAAACGCGTCGTTGTACGTATAAACAGGTCATTCTCCATATCGTTCTTCCCTACATCAATGCACTAAGCATGGATATTGTACACTTGTTGCGCGTTATGTTTAGATTTGCTTTGTGTGATGTCGCGTTCGTATAACTGGAAAAATAAAATAGACTGATTCTATATGTTTCTGTATGTAACTTGTTTTGTGATGTTGACTACGTTTTTCTTGTCGTCGACATGTTATTTCGTTTGCACGTGATGGTAGACCGGTAAAACCCCGCATAGCATTGCGACATGCTGAGCGATAGTAATCACTGTTAGAATAACACCTAGTACATTTCATGCGTCTGAGGCGATCAAAACTCCAAGACATAAACATGATTATTACCTTGTGGTACTTCGATCTGGCCTGGCAAATTTTATTTCAGTCATGCATTACCTTCCGGGCATAATTAAATTGTGATTGAATAAATATAATCGCATATTTGTCATATATTTGTAATGCGTGAATGGTTGCAAATTGAAGTTGGAATTGGCAATAAATGGTAATTGCTTTATAATATCAGGAGTACAAAGATAGAGTACTCTCTCTCGCTCTATCTCTCTCTCTCTCTCTCTCCCCGTTTATAATATCAGCGAGTACAAAGGATAGAGTACTCTCTCTCCGCGGGCCGGCCTTCTTTATCTCTCTCTCTCTCTCTCTCTCTCTCCTCTCTCTCTTCTCTCGTCTCTCTCGCTCTCTACTCTCGTCTCTCTCTCTCTCTCTCTTCTCATCTCTCTCTCTCTCTCTCTTTCTCTCTCTCTCTCTCTCTCTCCCTCGTCTCTCCTCTTCTCGCCTTCTCTTCTCCTGTCACGCCAATTTAGACGGGGGTCCGCGCGCCGTCAACTTGTTTACGTGTTTGTTAACCACAGCTCTTCGACAAAATTCCGCCGTTTTGACGGGAACTCTCCCACTTTAAAAAAAACCGTTTTGCGCTTTGAAAAAATCTTTTTCTCTTTCGCCACCTTTTCCAATAAGCCTCTGGAAAACCAAAAACCCTTCGTCTTAGAAATTGCTCTCTGTTAAAAAACCCGCCTCCAACCTGCCAAAATACACGCCCCAACATGCTGTCGCCTGACGAGCTTTCGTTTGATACATCGTAACTAGGCGTCGTTCACACACTAAGAAAAACCGCCGATGCTCAAATCCGTAATAGCGAGATAATTAGGAGATAATTGTGTCGTTGTTCACACAGTGCGGAAATATCTCGCTAATCGCCGAGCCGGGATAACACGCCGTCGGTGCCAAATAATCGCGCTATTTCCAAATAGCCCGCAGTTGGAAGTGCGATTGGACGCCGCTATTTGGAGCGCGATTTATTGGAGATATTTGGCGTTCACACTTCGGTAAAAATCTCGGTATTTCGAGCGGGATGCAAAAACCCGAGATTTGCATCCCACTACATTCCCGCCTCGCAGTGTGAACGCACCTAATATGAATTCCGCAATTGACAATCACCCTTTTTCCACTTTTTTGCTTTTAATTATCGTTTCTTATAAATAACTGTTTTTTAATTAAACTAGCGGCTATAAGCTTAGCGCATGTTGAGTATTGCATTACGTAAATCAACGCATTGAGGGCACTACGTGATAAGTAAACTTTCCTCTTTGCTGTGATTATCTATTCATACTCAATATTTGATGGCGACTTCGCGACAATTAAGAACGTCAACCCATTAAGACCATGCGGCCTCCCAGCTGGACTATAAACCCATACAAAACTCTAGAATCTGTCAGTAACCTGATATAATATATATATATATATATATATCATATTATATATAAATACTATATATAATATATACCTATAAGAACACTATATTTTTAATCTGCTTGCTAGTTTTAAAATATTTCATGTACGAAATACAGTATTTTATTTTTTAAATAAGTTGTCTTATAAAATAACAATATTATCGATACACCGTTTTAAGGTTGTTTACAAGTGTTTTTAGCAATTTGCATGACGTTCTAGCGAGTATACCCCGTTGGGAGATGCCCCCAGCATATATAATGAAACTTATGAAGAATTCATGCATGACATAACCTTTTCATATGGGTGATGGTTTATGAGCTGCTATGGTTTCTATTCTAATTTTCTACATGAAATATCAGGTTAATTAGGTCTCTGATTATATGTGTATTACCATTGTGGTTCACTAGATGAATGTTACTGCCACCATACACTGACTACAAGTTAAATGCCTTCTGCCGTTGCTAAATGTTGAAAGGTGTATTTTCATAACAAAACACTTTAATATAAAAATGTACTATTTATTTAACAATATACTTATTTGCCCACTTTAGAAAAATACCCGTTTAAACCCATAATAACGTCTTTTATAAAAAAACCTATGAAACTATCTCTAGAAGAGGTTATTGTAAGGCCTGCAGACTGTATATACTAATAATATACTACTTAGGGGAACCAGTAACGGGTAATCGCAACTCCGCTTCTACATTTTGGATTACCTCGATCCTGCCCTCTCCACTGCGCTGTTAAAAAACGGTCAGTACAGCCTCTTAACCATTGCGCTTTCCATGGCAGAGAAACTGTGCTTGTAGCCGTCCGTAAAGCGTATTGACCAGTCTCACGAAGGAAGTCCCACGCCTAACACGTTGCCTACGACGCTTATTAGCACGTAGCTTATGACGCTATCAGCTGTGTCCTTTTCGATACCATCATAAGCCTAGACGCTCGTTTTAAGAAACCTGTGTGACAGCGAGATGAAATATCGCGGCCATTACATCGGCCTGTTCGCCGGCTTTGTATCTTCTCTTAGTAATTAGACCCACATCGCGTCGATTATCCTACCTTCTTTACTATAAAGGATGGTGTATTGGCATTGCGCAAGCAAATCGCCATGCGCCGTTGGTTACCTGTTGCCCGCCCGCATGCTTCGTCTATTGTTAATTTGCTTAATTTAATTTATATTGTTCATTAAATATAAATAAAAGGTGTAAAATGACAAAAAATGCTTACAATGTCGGGGATCATACTAATTGTCGCTTAATAAAACGCGATGCTGCCACAGCCACATTTATCACGTTTACTGCAATCACTATCACGTATATATATCGCTATCGCTTCATAAAACATGCAAAAAACATCACTATGCTGCAAGCACGCCATTCCATGCAGCCGGTCCTTTAGTGGATCGTTAATTTAGGCGTATTACAAAAAACCGCCTACTTTTCGCTAAGTGTTACGTACGTTTCAAAGACCACATTCGTTCGTGGCACTGCATTGAGGAGCAGCTTGGTTTTCTTCAGATGCCGACATTGGAGCTGTTTAAAATTTGCTCCCATTGCGAAGCTCCATTCCATCCTCATTCCATTCGGCTATGCCGCTGCAATACACTAGTTCCTGCACGTCTGCGGCAGCAATGCTGCAAATTCATAAACCAGTCGCGCTAAGTATCTAGCCAAACATGGATTTAGCTTGTATGCTCTGCCTACATGAATTAATACGAATGATTCTTTGCATCATTTTCACCGAGTAACGTATTTTATTTTTCATTCTTAATTTTCTAAGTATTGAATGCACCAGCCTGCTGTCCCTGTATCTTGACAGAGATCATCATGGTAGCACGGGGTACATCATTATTTTCCAAAGTCATATCTACAACTTGAAACTTTTTATTTAAGTTTGTGTTAGCTTACTCATTTATCCAAGAAGTCAATCCACTGTCTATACTTATCGGTGGCCGCTTTTGGACGCAGTCCACATGTCCGTATTTACATTCCGCGGTAAACAGCTCCACCTGTGCTAAACCTGAGACACCGGCAAATGTTACTGCATGATCAGATGCATTTTCCAATATAGCGCTTAACACAGTCTTACTTACTTAAGCTTGTTCACGACATCACCATGTTTTTAGGATACAGCCGTCGCTTGTATGAACAATAGTATATATATATATATATATATATAATATATCTATATATATATTATATGCGCGGCGTGTGTGTGTGGTGTGTCGTGTGGCATGTCTGTGTTGTTGTGTGTGTGTGTGTGTTGTGTGTGTGTGTGTTGTGTATGCTATGTGTGTTGTGTACGCGCGCGCGCCGCTGGCTGTGTGTGCAAGTCTGTTTATAGATGGATAGCATATGAATGAATGCGATGGATGGCATGGATGGATGGATGGCTGGTGTCATGGATGGAGCGGAGCGGACGGCACGGACGGACGGACGAACGGACGGACGGCGAACGACGGAACGAACGGACGCGAACGGACGACGAACGCGACGCGACGAAACGGATCTTATGATGTAATATGTGTACGGCCGCAAAATGTCTAGGCAAATGATTACTCTATACAATGTAAATGACATGTAGCGGTCCATTCACAGAATTGCATGCCCCGGAAAATTGTTGAGCCCTATGTGACCTAGATTCAAAACCAAACAATTTGCGTGTTTCAACAGCAAAGCGGCTCGAGATCAAATAGAAATAGAGGAAAATGTATACTACATCAATATGGATTTTAGCAACGTATAAACGTATCGAATGGCCAAGCGTTGTCGGAATTGCAGTTAATGGCCCAGAGATGCGGAAAATCCGGAAGCACGTCCGCATATAAAAGGAAGATCGCAAATAGGCGCACATATCATCAGCATCGTCGCCCCGCCCTCTTTCCGAACCCCGAAAGACAGACTCAAGCATGCAGTAAAGCATTGTGCTTTTTCTTTTATATTTATTGCATTCAGTTATTCTGGCCGCATAGATTAGTCACTAAATGCTCCCGCCAAGTCTTTGTGCGTGATGTACTCAGAAGTACGCTGCGTAGTCCTTTACACATCAGTGTGTGTGTGTGTGTGTGTGTGTGTGTGTGTGTGCTGTGTATGGTGTGCTGTGTGTGTATATATGTGTGTGTGGTGTGTGTTGTGCTGTGTGTGCGTGCGTACGTGCGTCGCGTGGCGTGCCATGTGTGTGTGCTGTGTCTGCGGGTGCCGTGCGCTGGCTGTGGTGTCTGTCCGCGTGTGTGATCCCTTGTTTGTGCGTGTGCGTGTGCGTCGTGCGTGTGCCGTCGGGGGCGTGTGCGCGTTGTCGTGAGTGCGCGTGTGTGAGCTGCGCGTGTGTGTGTGCGCGCGCACCAATACGTGACCAGTCTCCATTACAGCATTGATTTTCAATGAACAATTTTAAATATCTTAGTCAATTATGCCAATAAATTTTTTCTTCAAGAAATTATTATTGAAACTAATCGTTATATTTCCTTAGCATTATTAGTATAGTAGCAGGATAACTGTAAGTAAAGTAAATGATTAATTTATGTATTATTATACTCACGTTTTCATTTGCTCTTCGTCGCTATAGATTTGCCAGCCAATCTCATTATATAGTTTGTCTATCTGTAGCACCATGTAAGCCTATAACGATAACGTACAACTTGATAATTTACCCGGAAAACTTGCTTCGCCAACAAATAACAACGTGGCAATAAATAGCGGCATGTATATGGCAGGTTTGTTGGCCCTACCAATATAAGACTGCGAGTACCCGGTAGCAATGTAACTGTACCTTTACTGATTACTCACAGAGTCCATCCTATATAACGTGGTATGGTTTAGCGAATACGCCATTATTAATCCTTCTCAAGCCTGATAGTGACAGCATTCCGACCATAACCGCAAAATTGCATGCATTCCCATGCAATATATTGTGCAGTTTATATATATGTATCGCACTTATACCAATATCTCACGCATCCTTTGAGATTATTGTGTACTCCATAACGAGAGATAGAGACGCGAAATGTCATTAGAATTGCGATAGCATACGTTATCCCAATTCGAAAATCCGGACTGCTCGGGGATTGGGTCGGTTCGGATTTTCGGATTTTCGAATTTTCCGGATTCTTGGACAGTACTTTGAAAATGCAAATTTAAGGAGGAATAAAGAAGTGATGAAGAATATAGAATGATGATGAAGATGAAGAGGTAAATTTTGATAGTTATTCATTAGCAAATAGAGCATGCTTCATTTATCAAAGCGAGCAGTTGGCTAACATAGGCATCACTTGATAAAAAGGTAAACATAAAAATTGTTGTATACAAATATTTTCGTCATTCGTTAGCTGCCTGAATAAAAGTTGCTAAGCATAACGTGTTGATTGTGTGAATTAGATTGATTGCGTTGATCAAGCCCGATAAATTACAAGGAAACGAATAAAATTTCTGGCTACCTTGTCAAGCGATCTAAGAAAAACATCCATACGATAGCCAGATAGTTAGTTAATTCATAAATATATACAAACACATGTATTTGTATATGTCTACAGTTAACTCGAGAGTTCCTGGCGTTAGTAGTTCTGTAAATATACCCCCGTATTCCGAAGAACGGGCACCGTCGAATTTGTTGGTCAGTATACGACCAACGATGACCGGCAACTGTTGCTCAGACACACAATTGACGTTTAATGGATAGAAAGCTGTGGCATTCATTATATCTTGTAATGGTATTCATAGTTGACTAAATGCAAGATGTAGTACCTTGAAAAGACCGTAAGAGGATGATCTACTCAACATGAGGTCTAGATAACTGAGCTGCGTTAGAGCCGTGTGCCATGGTAGATAGTCGCTTTCATCATTCAGATATTCAGTCAGTTCTAGCGCATGTGTCTGATTCATCAGTAGAGCTCTAGGTGAACAGTTAGGAGAATGAAAATGGCATGTCATATGCTTATATTTGTCATTCGATCTCACTGTAAAAGTCATCTGTGGACGTGTAAAATTATTATTGTGTGTATGCGTAGATTGCTTCTAATTTATTAATTATTCGTGGTTGACGGTATGGTGCGCTATATTTTTTCCATCATGTTAACACGGTGCGGAAATAAATCATAAAAAATATTGCTCGTAGTCTACATCTGTTGTAAGTGATATCTCACATGATGTTACATAGAAAAGATGTAGGCCTAATATAAAGTAAACAGCAGAAACGGAAAAGTATGTCTTATAAGCAATTGTGCTGGTAAAGAAGAAACAAAAGCGTTTTTGACACGAATAGTACTTACTTGGCCAACGTGAAAGCGTCCTCAAATAACTGAGCTCTGTTCCTAGTGTTAATTTTCTAGACGATTTAAAAAAAGCAGATATTATATACGCCAACATCGCTGCCGGGACAATGTCAAACAGGCTATTCCACGAAAAAATTAATGGACAACGGATAAATGTTATCATCGTATATCACAATTAACCCTTTGCTGCATCCCGGCTACCATTGTAAACCATTATATTATTAGGATTGTATAGAAATGTCGCAGTTAGATTAAAGATGTTCACACCTAAAACAACATTTCTGCTTTATAAACTCCGCGTAAACGCATAATTACTAAATATCGCTAAAAATTCTGCTAATGTTACCCGTAACATATTTATTTTCATTTCCGAAAATTTTCAGACAAACTATGGCTTTCGTTTCCAAAAGCGTTTCCGGCTAAAACGTGTATTATACCGTGTGACTATCCTTAAGCTGGTTAATGATATTTTCCCAGTTCTTGTCGTCGTACATGACTCTGTAAAAACCTTTCACGCCAGCGTTTCCAATAAGCCAGTTATTTTCTGAGATGGTCATCTCGACGTCTGCACGACAAGGAAAATCTTCTTAGTAATACAATTACTGCGCGAAACGCTTACGAACAAAGCAACGCATCCCCTCACTATATATTTTATCTAAGCTTTCCCCTAAACGTGATGTGAATGGAAAGTACTGACAGATATTGCGTGAATTCTAAGAGTACGAAATGTCTAGAGGAGATATAATACGAAGCCGAAGAATAAATAGGAATGAAATGGAAATATAGCAAATGTGCATGAAAAAGAAGAACCAGATCAAGCTCGATAGATGGCTGTATTAGAGAGCGAATGAATGAATGAAAGAATAAAAAGGTGAATTAATTAATTAAGTAAGTAAGTACGTTATGTATGTATGTGTGTGTGTGTGTGTGTGTGTGTGTGTGTGTGTGTGTGTGTGTGTGTGTGTGTGTGTTGTGGTGCTGTTAGTATGTATGTATGATATGTATGTATGTATGTATGTATGTAATGTATGTATGTATGTATTGTATGTATGTATGTATGTATGATTATGTCCATGCATGATTCATGTATGTCATGTCATGATGTATGTATGTATTATTGTATGTTATGTATTATGCTTATGTACTGTATGTATGATGTACTGTATGTATTGTATGTATGTAGATGCTATGTATGATGCTCATGATGTAGATGTATGTATGTATGTATGTATGAGATGTATGTATGTATGTATGGTATGTATGTATGTATGTAGTTCATGTATGTATTTGTATGTATGTATGTATGTATGTGTGCTTGGTGGTTGTTGTGTTGTAGTGTATGTGTGTAGTGATGTGTGTATGCTATTTGTATGTAATGTAGTTGTATGTATGTTATGTATGTATGTATGTATGTATGTATGTATGTAGTTGTATCATGTATGTAGTATGTATGTATGTATGTATGTATGTATGTATTGTATGTATGTATGTATGTATGTATGCTATGTATGTATGTATGTATGTATGTATGTATGCTATGATATGTATGTATGTATTTATGTATGTATGTAAATGATATGTATGTATGTATGTATGTATGTATGTATGTATGTATGTATGTATGTATGTATGTATGTATGTATGTATGAGTGAATGAATGAATGAATGAATGAATGAATGAATGAATAAATAAATAAATGAATGACAGGATGAATGGATGAATGGATGAATGAATGAATGGATGAATGAATGAATGATATGAATGAATGAACAAACGACTGACTTAATTAATTAATTAATTAATTAATGAACAAACGAACGACTGACTGACTGAATGAATGAATGAATAAGAAAGAAAGAAATTCAGAAATAATTACTAAATGCGAGAGTTCAACGATAGGGGATTTTTTGTTGGGATATTTGTTACGGAACTCACCACGGTCTGGGTGAAGCCACTCAACATTCGGAGTCTCAAAGGTACCTTCGCTTGCTGTCGTGTAAAAGAACGGAACTTCCCACTTGTACCTGTTAGACGAACAGCAATATGTGTAGTCTCACCGGCGCTCACGTTTAGTACTTTGCGCCATAGCATGTGCAGTGAGTCTGTAGCGACGTAATATTAATGCCAGTGGAATATAATGGGCGACATGCGTGCGTATTCGGAAAGGTGACAGGGACACCTGATTAATAGCCACCCGCATAACATCCGACTAAAATATATGAGGAAATACGGGAATGGATATCCAGGGCTGTGTCACCGTGCCACGTGGACGTCACCAGGACACGTGGCCACGGAAAAGACACGCCCGGGGTATCAATACGGACGACAATAGAAGACAATAGAGAAGGAGATGAGAGAGAGAGGAATGGAATGAGAGAAGGAAGAATTATGAGGCACACAAGAAGAGTACATGCCTACTACGTACTTCTGTGTTTAGTTATATCGTAGCACATCTTTATATAGTTATAATAAAGCCGTCTATATTATACACGACGCCTTTGATCATCATTATCTACGATCATTGTGTACGACTAGTACCATCGTGTAACGTGTGTGAGTGCAACAGTTAAAAACCTTCCTTACAAGTCTATGTGACATATGATTGCTACAACAATGTTGACTTGGTAGGGTACAAAGCAACCGAGAGAGGACATATGTAAAGTCACTGCTGCTCTCTCCAGCATCAGCGTCACCGGGAGGAAGGAAATCAGGAAATCAGGAATCAGGAATCAGGAAAATCAGAATCAAAATCAGAAATCAGGAAACCAGGAAATCAGGAGGAAGGAAATCACCAGGAAGGAAATCAGCGATACCCGTAATCGCTGTCTGGTGGCTGAATGCCGGTCGGGTCCAGGAGGAAGTGGCTCTGTGAAACGGTGACGTCACCGCTCGCGTAGTCAATTGACACGTTCAGTAGAGGGTAGCCACTTTGCAGTGTCCAGGTGTCCATAACTTCCTTCACGGTCATGCCATCTAGTCTGCTACTAACACCTTTGGCATCTACCGCCTAAGCGATAATGAATAAGAGAAAAGAAATCATACATATTATATTGTTTTACACAGCTTTCCGTCATTTCTAATACCCGCAGCAGCGGTATCGATCCCAATCCTATACACGTCATATTACGAGTCAAAATCATATTTATATGCCAAGGCCTGAACGGCGCCTCGTACGTAAAGCGAATTTCCTAGACGCGCACACGACAATTTCTTGAACTAAATGCGCATATAGCTAGTGGGTTGCCTACACTTTGGATAGATTCCCATAGCTGATCCGTGTTCGCTGTCTTGTAGGGGAGTCGTTTCAGGTGCTCCTATAATAACCACGACATCGATTATTAATTACTGCAGCTGTATTTATACATTGAAAGTTATAAGGAGGATAGGCGTGAGAACGTACGTAGTTATTTTTTGGTTATAGCATTTAGGTTGCTGGACGCTCTATGTAATACATAAAATATACAGATATATAATTCTAGATATATTATATCTTCCTTTTTACTGGATGCTTTATTTCGCTACAATGTTAATTTTTTAAAGTGTTTAGCACCATTAGTCCAGCTAGCCACACGTCCTCGTGCAGCATTGCTTGCATCATCTGGCTGAGCGCTCCACCTTTCTGGTACGATATCCGATCAAATATACCCTGAATCTCCGAGTTTGTGAGAACGTCGGCAACGACCGGATGTGATGTCGCCAGCGCATCGGAAGCAAAGGCTAGTGGGTTATTGTCTACGACGAACTGGTCGAGCTGTTGTAAATAAATGCGGAAATCATGCGCCGGAACGCGGGTCCACCCACACGCTATGTAACCAAATTAACCGATAAATTTGCATCTTGAATTTATATAGTCACATCAAACCGTTGCGATTCTTGTTTGGTAGCCCAGCACTTGTTTACTAGGCCCATGCCTCAATTAAAGTATTGCGCGTAGTAGGCACCTAATGCGCGTACATGCGGTTGTTAGGTAATATATGTTGTGAGGGCAGAGCCATTACTCAACGCGAATAGTCGCCCGACATTTCCAGTTGCGTGATATTGTCTTACCAACATCCACTCCGGCTCGACGAAATCTGCACCTACATACTGGAAGTACGATGCAAATCCTTCGTTCAACCAGAGATGGTCCCACCATTCACATGTCACAAGGTTACCAAACCACTGCGAGGAGAGAAATCCTTAATTTAAATTACTAACTATTTTTGTATGTGTGCGTACATGTAGGCAAAGGTACGCGCGCACAGATGAACGCACGAGCCCACATGCACACGCGCTTGTACGCGCTTGCGGCACGCGCCTAGAGATGCTATTATGAGACAGTCCGCATCGTCTTATCAAAAGAATATATCAAATCCAATTACATTTTTGTGAAGAATCCAATTTTACGTTATATTAACGACTCTTATATAGTTCACTATTTATTTTGAATGCTAGTTGAGTTTATGCTAACGAACTTCAACGCCCATTAATTGCATTATTGAGCTTAATTATCATCGTTTTCTAGCAACAAATAAACGTGTAATTACATCATGTGCAGCGTGATTGAAATGATTTCGGGTGTGTTCGCTCATACTGATATTTTACAGGCAAATTCCAAGAAAAGAAACGTTTTTATGTTCTTTTTTTGCGCGCTCAAATAGAACAAAAACAATTATTGCAGTATGTATATATGGAGACTATATGCACGCATTTTGGATTTGTCTACACAGTTACTGCGAAACATAGTGCTACGGTCGAAACATTACCGTTTACGATATGATTCGAATTATGTGATATAATTATTATGTTAAATTAACGAGTGTTACAGTTAGTATATACCATATGTGTGAGTTCATGTCCAATAACTCGCGCTATGGATTTCTTATCGGCACTGGTTGAGACGCCTTCTTCATACAGCATCCGTTCTTCGCGATATGTCACAAGTCCCCAGTTTTCCATCGCTCCGGCAGAGAAATCGGGTATAGCGATGAGCTCTGTATTTATATATCAACACCAGAAACATCGTTATACAAAGACATATGCTTTGGAGAATATGGCTTCCCAATTCTGTGAGTGTGTGTGTGTGCGTGCGTGCGTGCGTGCGTGTTTGTGTGTGTGTGCGTGCGTGCGTGCGTGCGTGTGTGGTGTGTATGTATGTGTGTGTGTGCGTGTGTGGTGTGTATGTATGTGTGTGTACGTGTGTGTGTGTGTGTGTGTGTGTGTGTGTGTGTGTGTGTGTGTGTGTGTGTGT